AAARRAAAARRAAAMMAAMMAAAAAAAACCCTGAATATAGTTTCTTTGTGTTTCTGAAAAATAGTACAGTTTTTCATATCAAAATATTTTAACTGACAAAAATTAGTAACTAAAAATATGCTAAAATCCATTTCAGGATAGAAAGATGTTTCACTTGATCTAAAATAAAGTTCATGTTATTCAGAACATTGAAAATGTATTCTTTTTACAGCTCTGTAGCTCASATCATTTATGGGGACTCTGATATTTATTCTGAAACCAGATGCATTTAGAATACAATCTGAAACTGTATCTTACATGTAGAAAGGTTTTGTTAAAAAATGCAAAATTCATAAACTCAACAGAGAAACTATATTCTAAATTCAACTGAGAACAAAAAGATCCATCTAAGTTCTAACATGGATGAATGAGATTTTACAACTCTAAGACCTAATACTGATACTGAACAGCAATACTGAACACAGAATAATTCCTCAAAAATATTATGAAAAATATACAGTATAAAAGTAATACAGTATTGATTATAAATGGCCCCTCTTTGCACTTATCATTCACACCATAACAACTAATAATTCAGTAAAAGGCTGATTTCAAACAGACACTAACTAATTTGAAAGGCAAAGTGCTACTAACTTACAGAGCTCTGTGCTCTGCAAAAAATGAGACAATTATATTTTCTGTATTACAGATATGAGAAACTACAGCATTTCTTTCCCTTCTTACCAAACCTTACCTTGATTCTAATACAGCCCAAAGGGAAAGTTCCCCACAGAAGCCAAAGAGGGCAATCTGCAAACTAAGACCCCCTTTTTTGCCTGTATCACTGACTTTATTGTGATTCCTGCAATTGCAACACTAATACATCATATTTATTTTACAAGAGCAAATTTACTAATTCTTATTAAAAAAAAAAAGAGTTTCTCAGAAGGAAATTGTTACCAACACTCAGTATTAGCAGGACTAACATGTGGAATGAGCTGAAGCAATCTACCTCAATTTAAGTCAATAACTCAACGTTTCTGTATCATTTCTGCAACATAATCTTGCTGCTGACTGCTGGTAAATGGCTGCATTCTAAGACCGGTTTAAAAATTTGTTTGCACAATCAAAATTGCATCGTGTGCATTTGAAACAAGAGTAAAACCAGAAGCGAACTCCAATTCCACCCTCCCCTGCTTCACCCAGTGAAGTCCATAGTAATGTACATTTTCAATTACTCTCCATTCAAAATGCAACAATTCAACAAACTGTCATATTAGCAACAACTGTGTCTCATCGGCAAAACCTAACAGTRTTATTATGTAGGAACTGTCAGCACAAAAGTAGTGTCATTTCTCATTGGCAGAAATGTTTTTGTAGCATTCCACCAAGCAACAATGGATAGCACAATTTAGGTTATATGATTTCTAAACAGAATTGTGTCATTTAAATATCATTTTCAAGCAATCATGAGCTCTGCCTCAGAAAATATAGTAGCATCCAATATCTAATTATTATCCTGGAACATTCTAAATACTGTATTGGAAAACAACACAAAAACAAACCTATTTGTCTCCTCAAACATCAATAGTTTAATATTATGATAAACCAATTTGAACCAAAATTAATAACTATCAGGTGCAGTATATTGTTACACTAATTTATAAAGCACCATTCCTGCTTTCTAGCGTGATGAATTATTGTGCTAACGAGGACTGTACTATAACAGAGGAACTAATAAACAGACTCTAACTCATGTGAATTACTGTATACTCAGTTCCTTAATCAGGCAAAGTATTATTTTTCACATTTTCAAGTTCCATTTTCAAATTCTTTGGGTAGAGAGTCTTTCCTATAGCAGAAAGCAAGATTATTTGGGAGTAGCAGGTCATCTTCCTCAACTGAGKACAAGTTACCTAAATGACCCCACTGTTTCCCCCCTGCTTTGGCAACACMCAGAGCAATTACCAAAGAGCAACTGGTAGATGGTGATAACTTGCTGCCTCCACTGTCACTGCATCTAGCCCTACTGTAAATGGAAGATAAATTTGAGATACTTCACTTTCCAGAAGAGGGGAGGTTGTCTCAGATATACTCTATCAATCTGGGTAATAACTACAGAAGTACGGATATCCAATTTTTGATTCATGTGACCATGGTGTAGGATCCACCATTATATTCAAAATACGAACAATACAGGGAAAAGATTGGCTAGAATCTCTTAAAGATGCAATTCCCTCTAGCAGACTTTGGGAACAGCAAAAACCCTTTTGTGGGAACAGCAGGGAGAGAGGGGGAGAAAAGARAGTATAGTATCATATATGATCAAAGCAAGCAATTCTACTTCAGAACTGTATGAAATGTTTACAACAGATCACGATGAAACTATTCAATAATATGATTGACTTCATGTGACTTGCTATGAAGTTATACTTAGAAGGACYCCTAAAGTTCACGAAACTCCATTAAATAACAGCCAGGATGCACTTTTGTGCATGTCACAGCACGAGGCATTTCTTAAATCTGGGAGGTTTGGCTCTACTGTTCCATTTTTCTTGAACCCCAAACTCAAAGTTAAACTGTTGACCAGTGAAAGACACTTGGGGAAATGTTTGCAGCAACTCTAACAAAAGAAAACCGCAGTGCTTTGCACAGCTCTTTCCTGCTAATGCAGTCCTGGTCACATCTGGTACTCCTTTTATCCTAAAACAAAGATAAATTCATATGTGAGAACAAAGAGATATGCATGTCATTTGGTGTTATTTTACAAAAGAAAAAAAATCTAGTTTTCCCATGTCAGCAATCAGAGTTTAAATCCATGAAAGGAGATTTGCATTCATTATTTAACCACAACGCAACACAACATTTTTAGAAAGCATCCAAGATTGACTAAACTTCCCCTTGGGTCTCCTTTCAGATGTATCTTCTGCAACCCCTCACACTACAACCATTCCACTAAAAAAAGGAGGCTGCCAGGTTTTAAGATCTTTGCAATGCTCCTTATTAACATATTATTTTGCTAGCCCACCCCCAATCAATAATACTTACCTTTCTGTTACAGACTTGATAGTTCTTAATCCACCCTACAGTGTTTCGCTCAGCCTGCAGCTCTGGATGTGTCCTGATTTTAGAGCTTGTCATCCCCGAACATATTTCACATAATTGTTTGATTCTCCTCCTAAATCCACCAGCAATTTTGGAAACTTGCATTACAAATAAAATTAAGAATTTCTTTAGCTTCAAAACTGCTGTTGTTAATTATTACCATGGAAAATGTTATTTAGTGACTTAGGGCCCAATTCTGTTCCTGCTTAACACAATTGCAGGACCCCTATTGCCTTCCATAGGATCAGGCTTCTGACTTCCAAAGCTTTAAGAACATCATTAAGAGTTGACTGGACCTCAGAAATAGATTCTGCTTAGCTCAGACATCCTGTAAGAGATCAGCATATTCAAATACTGAAATGTGATGCTGAGAAACTGAACACCAGGATGAAGCTGGAGGTGGTTTTTTAGTTCYGCATTCTGTGGCATGAATCTGTGGCTGCAAACGCTGCTGTGAGGGCTAGGATTGGAATTGCTACTGGTAACTGCTGGTGCTGGGCATAGGTTCTCAAAAACGGGGCCAAACAGCCACAGGAATCACAGAATTCAGAAAGAAATGGGAAGGGAGGTGGTATATTTCTAGCAACATATGGGTCAGAAAGCAACTCAGTACAATTAAAAAAAAAAAGGAAATCCTTGCTAACATGTTTGATTAAATGTAGGCTCTTTTGCAGCCCTATTGGGTTCAACTAGACCACTTTCACATGTGAAGTCAGGTATATGTATAATTATTGACAGGATTATGGCTTCAGCTGTAAACTCTGTGGACCAAACCACTTCTACACGATTATCCAGCACCGGGCAGAGTCCATAGCAGCAAGCAATACTGTGATAATTGTGTACTGAATTATACAGCTCCCAATAAGCGAAGCACAGCCCTTGAGTTCGTTCAAATATTATTGCTGCTGTTATATTAAAATGATACAACTTCCCACACCAAGTGATGCAACTGCTTATACTCATCTCTGGGCAAAACATGCGATTCTATGGATATATTTTGTATGGTTTAAATTATGTCTGGTGGGTGCACATTTAGACTCAGGGAATCAGAGAACTCAGAGAATTTAGAATCAGAGCCACATGTGTTGACATGCAATTTTACACAGACTTAAGCCAGAATCTGCTTTTTTTTTTTCTTTTTTTTTTTTTTGACAAAACCTAACATCTGATCCCCTTTCTCAGAAACATCCATACAAATGAAATCCTGTTGACTTCAGTGCCAAATACCTAAACTTTATACCATTTAGAGCTACCAGCATTACAGAATGTGTCAGAGGGTATGTCTACATTTTACTTCTCATCAGGARTGCATTTTCTTTCCTAACCAACCCTATTCAATACATTTTGCTTCACACTGCAAGGGATTTACAGGCTCCCCAAACTAGACTCCTCCTGCATGAAACTAGACTGGACATCATGTTCCCAACACATCTACTGAGCTTTAGCTGCTAAAGGCTGCTTGGTCCATGGACTAGAAGAGAACTAGTCTGAAGTGAAAGCCCCAGAAGCCACATGCTGTGGACGTCAGACCCCAGCCCCAGTGGTCTTGCTCTACAGATAAAGTTCCACAACACTTAGGTTACTTSTTGATGTAGAAATAACCAGAAAACTCAAGCATACATATTTGGTTATTTATTTCATTCACACAGGCTTCATACTCCTTTATTCCTGTACTTTTGTAAATGTTTTGATGCTTCCTAAAGTTTAGAASTGATGAGAGAGTCATTAGTTATTCAACACGGGCAAGCCTATATATCTATTTATACATACYTTATTTCTTTCATGTTTTCAAACCTGTTGCAAAAACATAACAAATGAGTTCCCAGTAGAGTGCCACGTTAGTTTCTGCTAATTTGGATATAGCCCTTCACCATAA